GGCATAATAAAGGGGAGGGATCTTGAATATTGCGCAATCATGACAATGGCATTGACCTTGGTACAGTTAAAAACTGTAAGTTTAAAATCACAGCTTGTTCTAACCCTCCTAAAACCTAGCCAAACACTGTATTGCGTAGTCATAAACCATGTATAGAACAAAACAAAACAGTAGAAAGTTTTGTAAGCTACTGCTCGCGATAGGCCGGTAGGCTACTTAAGCACGGGTCACACTAGGCTGGCATCAGCGGCGAATTGAAAGAAGCCGCGACTGTCAGCTTAATGTGACCACAAAATTCGCAGCTGACACTGAGCTGACTCAGCCTGGATTGGTGAGCCGGAGATGCTGGTGCCAGCTGCTGATCACCATCGGCTGGCGAACAGCCTAGTGTGACCCGTGCTTTACAGTACAGTACTGATTTATCACAAAAGAGGAATGTCAATAATAATCATTAACTATAGCATTGGTGTTGCTAGTTGAAACAAATCGTATTGAAAACAATAAATTATTAGATAAGTCATTATAAAAGTGTATAATCATAGCCAACTTAAGGATAATAAAAACACTCGTAAAAGGAATGTTAAAATAACGATGTTGCTATTATTTCTCTTTGGTTTTGTTTTTATATTCTTTCTTAGGTTTCTCTTTATCCAAAAATTGTACAATTCACCATAGTTATCCCATATCGCCCAATCAGAGCTGACTAAACATTTCGTCGTCATCAGTCCTCAGTGAATGAAATCAGTTCTCAGTTCTCAGTTGCAACATAGCGCGCGCAGCGACAGCAGACAAAGATGTAAAACGGAGCAGACGAATGTTAGCGCAAGCGATGACGTGACCTTTCCATTTCATTTGATAAAGAAACAGATTTTCCCAAAACAATAATTGGGTGGGGGATTTGTTATATCGAGGGAAAGACGTAGACAATTCGTTATGCAGAGGTTAAATTAGCAATGTAGAGGTTCTGACAATGATAAATTTGTTATATTGAGGTGTCTTATTTTAGCCAAAATCACGAAAAATTTGTTAAATCAAGGTCGTTGTTATGGTTTGTTCGTTATGTAGAGGTAAAATATACATTGTGTCTTATGGAGAGTTCTAGGGGATTAAAAAACATTCGTTATATCAAGGAATTCGTTATATCGAGGTTCGTTATATCAAGGTTAGACTGTAATGGAGATCGATGTACTGAGCTCACACTGAAGCATGGCTGTTGTTATGGGAGGAGGACGACATTTCCAGCCCCGCGCCAGTGGTGCAAGAACGGCGGAACGAGAATTCCCGTCCCCCGCACTCAACGTGTTACTATGCAATTTTAAAAATTTTGTTGGATAATGAGGTTACGTAACGTTATTTTAGGGATATCTGTTGACCAAGCTTGATCCGCCTCCTGGTTTATCAAAGTTCTACTGTGCTTAAACATTAAAATGTTTCAAATTCATCTCTTTTAGATGCTTTACTATACATAGAAAATATACGTACTCTATAATAGAAAATATACAATTTTTAAAAACTTGTTTAGTCAGCGAGTGTGTTAGCTCTTTTTTAATGTAATTTCGGTAATCCCGATAATTTGATCATCCGAATGTGGTCCGTTCCAAAATAATCCGGATTATTGACGTTCTACTGTAGATTGATAATTTCTAAAAGTAATAGGGTAGGTCTGATTCTGTCAATTTGCCTGCTAAATGCTAACATAACCATGTGCTTGCTAAGCTTGCTTCATATTACTTTTTGAAACAAATCGTGAGCTTATCTAAGCCCTTGAAACAAATCGTGAGCTTATCTAAGCCCTTGAAACAAATCATGAGCTTATCTAAGCCCATTTTAGACCTTTGTTTATCAAAACTAGGATATTGACTGTCATTAACCCGTACATATATGTATGTTTATTTGATGTTAAATTAAAATTAGGAGACTTGGATGTTAGAAAAGATTTCCATTCTCATTACACTAGATCTAACTCTCTACTTGAAATTCCGTCCATAGATGAAGTAAATGTGCCAGTAACCATATAATCATGAGCTTAAGGCCCAGCGCAAACGGTGTGACTGTTTTACAAACTGTCGTTGCAAACCAGTTGCGCGTGCAACCGTTTTGTGACCTCGGCAATGTATTGCAGTGGGGAGGCGCACACGACGCAATTGGTTGTATGCGATTTCAAAAAAAGTTTGAAACCAGTCACATACAACCGTAGGCCTGACGTTGCAGTTGCGTTGCAGAGTTCAGTTGCACGAGACCACGGGGTGTTTTTGTGGTATTTGGTGGTGTTTTGACGGCCGTATAGTGTTTTTAGTGTTTATAATTTCCTATCCGACTAGCTGTAGCTGCTACACACAGCCTAGTACTAACATTCTTGCTCAAATAAGGGTGAACCCAATGCTCTCTCAGTACCGCTGTCTTCTGTATTGATTATAGCTAATAACGTCTTCTAAGTCTATGTCTGACGTAGTAAGCGCATTTAAGGCCTTAAAACAACGTTAACTGCACTAAATTGACACTCCAATAATTACACAATAGACGCGACTGTAGTTGTAAAACAGTCACACCGTGTGTGGACAGAAGTTTTGTTTCAGTTGCAAACTGGTTTCAGACACAACTGGTTTGCAACAATTGTTGTAAAACAGTCACACCGTGTGCGCTGGGCCTAAAGGTTATAAACATATGGAAATTTTAAATTTAATTTATTAAATTATTTCTCTTTACGAACAATAGAAAACGTTCGCTGACCCCTCATAGAAATAAAAAGTAAAGATGATCGCAAGATCCCAGGTTAAAGTCACGTTCTCATGGGCAAAGACCTGGCTGAGAACAAGCCAGGCATAGATTGAATTTCGATCTGGAATGCATCGTAGAAGAAATTGTAACCGATGGGAACAATCGACGAGAAACAATATTGTTCCCATCGATTCCAAGAAATTATACATGCATAGAGAAATTATTTTACTTACGGTCAGCACCACGCCCTCTGGAGGCTGGACATGAGGGGAGAAGCCAATGAGGACGATGATCGGAGATATTCCACCGATGATTGGAGGGTAGGCGTTTCCCGAAGTCATCGGGGGAAGAACCAAACATTGAAGGAGGGAAAGGAGGTCTTGGAGACGAAAATTGTGAATCAGTCTTGGAGAGGTCTGAAGAAGTAGAACTTCAAAGAAGAAACCGTCGGGAGTCCCGGATCGAGTAGGGACAGTGACTTAGCAGGTTAGTCTGAAGCGCCTGTTAAGATACCGACCAGACTCGAGACCACGAGGACACAACAACCCCACGGCTATCTTCAAGACCCAAGGCCACCAGGACACTACCACGCTACCAAGGACCAAAGCGAGGACCCGAAGAGGACGGCCCAGGACGAGCGACCGACGATGAGAGGAAGGACTACGCTTGGATCAACCCTTGTGCCCGGGCGAGCAACCCCGGAGTCTACGCCCGCACCAAAGGAACGCCCCGGGGAACCTTTCAATTGTCGCCCAACTGCCTCGTCTTGTGGTATGTCAAAATATCTTCACTCATTTGGTCCTAGTGTGCACAACGTAAATGTGAGGGAAAAACTCCATAAAATATAACAAAACCTATATATAAATGAAATAAATAAACTATAAGAAAGATAAAGTAAATTTAAGTAAACATATATAATTAGAGTAAATGAAGTAGAATTACGTTAAAGTTCATATAAATATTAACCCTTAATTAAACTAAAAGGGGTCAACCTAAACTAGAGCCATTTGAAGTTTGAATAAACAGGATTCAAATCGAATCCAAATTAAATAAACCTATTAGTTGGACTACATATAGACGTGTATATAATAAAAGAGACAATTTCAAATATGTATAAATAATTAAAAATCAGGGTGTTAAACACGTATTTTAAATGTTTGTTTAGTTTGTATATAATATCAGAAGGATGAACTAACTTGTATGTAAATATCGGTTTGATTTAGGATAGGACATTGCAAGTGTTTACAACTTATATTTTAAATACATTTAAGTGTCAAGGGAAATATTTCATTTCATATCATTATACAGATAATAAACTCATAACATAGGGTGTAAATATTCAATCATATAATTTCAATTGTATTTGTGTTTTTGCTATTCTCAATTATTATTATATCGCTGTGTAACAATTATTTACTCTTTATTAACTCTTTATATTATGTCCTTATTTTATGTGTGCACATTTAGTTAGACTTATTAAATCATAGTATCATACTGCACTGGTGTTCACTTATTCCACGATCCTAGAGGTCCTCCATTTAGAGAGTACTCTACCCTAGCTACATTTTTCCCCCTTTGAAGTAAGTTTTGTTTGGTGAAAGTTTTTCGTAAGTTTCTTTTACCTCTACAGAGGAGTAGAGGCCAGAGAGCTTTACAAGGTATTCAATGTGTTGCACTCTGAGTCAAGAGCATTGCCTGAGTTGGTTTTTAAAGATAGGCTATACAACTGGTTTTTTGAACATCCTTTTTATGTCATTAAAGAGTTTTTTTTTTTTATAAAAGTTGTTAAGTTTTGATATTTTAATAGTTTATTTAGTATATTCTCCACCCAGTCTATAGCCTTCTTTTTACTTTTAAATTTTTACCTGTTGTTGTCTGTGATATTAGCTTAAATCTAGTCAGACTGGTTACCATAATATGTGACCATGTCTATTGCAAAATTGTTTTACTTAAGGACAATAAAGAATTTATGATTTATGATTTCTGATCTCTCGGCACCTGTGGTGTTCTAGTTTTTTTTTATAGAAACAGTAATATTTTCAGTAAAATTGCATTTAGTCTGCAGGCAGTAGCTTTACAATTCTACCTCGTGATAGTACAATTCTACCTCGTGATAGAACAATTCAAACACTGTATGATATTTGTTCCACAATTTAGTTTGTTCATCATTTCAAAAGAATGTGTAGTGGAAAGATTTTAGCCAGGTAAAGTAGGATAAGTCTACCGATGGTTTTGTAAATCCTCAGTTTTTCTACGGGTAACTTAATTTTCTTTGATTTCAGGGCCCTTTTTGATTCCATGCAAGAAGATATTGATGAAAAGGATAAAATTCATAAGTATTCCTCACCGAAGATTTTAAGATTAATAGAAATTGTGAAGAACTTTAAACCAAAAGAAAATGTAAATGTGGCCAATTCTGATGATGTAAATAAGCAGCTGTGTGATGAAAGTAATGCTAAAACCAAAGAAAACACAACTAACGAAGAATCCAGTGATATCAAAAACTTGGCTGAATCGTCAATTGTTAGTAAAGAAGCTGAAAGTAGGACTCTAAACTGTGATCTTATTAGTGTAGATAATGTAGGCAGCATAAAGAATTTAGAGATAAATAGTGAAAGAGTTGACAATAAAATTGACACTCAGAGTAAAGAGTTGACAAATGGAATAAGCTCTACAGAAGAACTGAATAATGGACCAATCTGTAGATCAGAATTGAAAGACAAGAATAAAGTGAATCAGGATGAACCGGAGTCAGTTTTCAAGGGTGGACGCTGGAGAGGAAAAGGAAGGGGATGGAAGTTCCAGAAAAGGAGTAACGCTGGAAATCGGAACAATAAAACTAATTCTCAAGAAGATGCTGAAAACATGTGTGCTATTATTTTTGTAGAAGATTCGTTTACAGCAAAAATTCTCTTCTATCTGTTTAACGTAAGTACTTATTTGAAAGGTCTGAATTTAATATGTGGAGTTGAGGTTAACATTCTTAGAGCCGCTTTCCCCAAATTTATTTCAACTCGGATCTTGGTTTTAGCTCTAGATGCACACCCAAGATTCACTTTCTCAAAAATACTTTCTCAGTTTAAACTAAGTTCAAGTTGACCCTCCAGGTGAAGTTGGTTACCTGGCGATCTATGGTTGAACCAGGAGAGAAGAATAATAACTTAAACTTTCATTGGCTGACTCTTCATTCTCATCTTTGTATGTTTACAAACAACCTAAAATGAATCAAAAATTTCAACTGAAACAAAATTGTGAATGAGAAGCTAGATTGATACTGTATTTTGCTATGGAATGTCTTAAAGTTTTGATAAATGTCTAGTAGGCCTATAGGATTTGTTTTAGATCAGTATCGTGGCCTCACAAAAAACTGTTAGCCACAGGCTTGCAACTAGGGGTCTCAATCCCAGGCCTTCAATCCAATCCCGGGATTTCGGGATTCGTCTCAGCCAATCCCGGGATATATAATATAAAATTTTTTAACTTTTTAGCCATTTTAAATGAGCGAGAAGTCTACTCGTTGAGTACTTTAATGTTTTAAACTGGCCTTACCAGTGTTACACTGCGCAATGTTTCCGTTTTCTAAGTAAATAAATATTACCACGCTGAACTTTCATCGCCCGTATTTCTTATTTACAGTGTATAAATGTTGATATGTCACTCAAAGAATATAATAAATACATTTGAAAAAATCACGAGCAACCGCACTCGCACGTAGCCTAGATACGTCACGCTAATAGATAGATTAAAGATAGCTAAGAGAAAAAGATAAAATGGGAAGAATCACGAGTAGCAGCGTTAAAATGTTATTTTGACTGACAGCAATAAAACAATATAAGATACTGTAAAACAATAAACCATCTGCTTATGTAGTAGCGTGTGTATGAAAAACGTAATTTTAGATTGTAAGAAATTTAATCACCACACTTATAACCAAATACGAAGATAAAGCTATAGACCCTAAATATAAGCAATCTTAATACTGTAATGAGATGATAATCGTGTGTTAATAGTTATATTTTATGGCATCAATGAAAATAATACTTAAATTTCCGATTGCAATGTTATGTTTGCTACACGCATTGCGTTGTTTACGTTTAATGTCAACAGTAAAACTAAAAATAACTTGTAGGCCTACTGTAATTAAGTTCTAACTAATGTAATAACATTTACAGAAAGTAAATCCAAATCGTCTAAAAACTTAAACATATATTTAGGCCTACATTCGTTCGCCTATTGATTTTAATGATAATTAAATTTTCCAATCAAAAAGATCATTAGGCCTACTTATCCCATTTTGTATAATCGTCCTAAAAATAAAGAGTATATGTGTTTCAGGTGTTATTGGACAATTTTTATTAGTTTTCCTCAAGAAAAAAGTCCTCAAATTCACAAAAAAATCAATATAAACATAGGATTTGCAATCCCGTTAATCCCGGGATTAAAAGTCACCAATCCCGGGATTTCTAGGTATCAAAAATCGGCCGGGATCGCGGGATTGAGACCCCAACTTGCAACTGTAGAAAAAACCAGGCATTATAAGTGTTAATTTGTTTTGATTTAATCAGCAAATGTAAAGTAGGAAAGAAATACAAATTAATGTTGAGGCCTATAACCATCAACTTATTTTTATGGTCATATTGTGTCATTTTCAGTTGCATTAGAATTAACGTACCTGTAGTTTTAGTAACTTATGAGTCTATTGAGTAGTGATATTAATTTTTGCTTGCAAATAAAATGGAATTGGCTGGATTTTGAACTCATAAAAGAACCATCAAGGTAGTCTTGGTGTCTTGGATATAATTAGACATTGAATATCAACAAAACATTTAGGCCTACTTCTTTTTCCTTAACTAGTTTAGCCTTTGATTCCCTAATATTTTATTTTAAGTGATTTCAAAGACTTTGGGCCTAAAGTATAAGTTAGAACTTAACACAAGTTGTTAAATTGACAGTAGCCTACGAGTGTGTATTTCAATGTCAGCATTATTGTGTGACTGAGACAAAATAAACTAAATAAATAACAGTCAAAACATCCAAAACACAGAAAAATAACCAGATAACTTCAAAGTAGAGCTAACATTTCACAAAAATGGCACAAATCAGCGTTGCCAACACAGTTGCTTGCAAAGAGAATCCAGGTTAAACTAAACACAACACAAATCAGTGGGGAATGCCATCCTTGGTTTAAACTGCAGTTTACAGCTAACTGAGATTACACTCATCTATGTTTGGGCCGTTTGGGGAAAGCCCCATCATTCATTAACAATATATTTGATTTATTGGCATTGTAATAATACAATCAATACAAAACAGGAAATTATTGCCTCCTTTCTATTGCATTAGGTTTATCTCTAAGTAAAATTTACTGCTGTAATTAATACTGGGAAGATTTTGCATTACTGACGATTCTGTAATTTTAACTCGAGATTTCATATGAACTTTTCAGGAATTGAAGAAATGTGATCCTGATTTTTCATTCGTCTCACCACAGTTCACTGTATGCAAGGTTTTGGACCCTGTCAAAGAACAGAAGGAGGCAGAAATAGAACATCGCAAACAAGAAGAAGTGTTAAAAAGGTTAGTTATCATAACATTCAGTACTGTAAGTAGAATTTATATTTAGGATTTGTATTATTCAACCGTTCTGTTAATGTCATTATCTTCTCTGAGGTATAAAAGTCTGTACCTTTAGAGTCTTCTTTTGTATGACTTGCCTACACTGTGCCGTAACTGAAAACATTCGGTTAATTAATATAAAATCACATCACTACTACATACATTGCCGCCTTATCTTCGTGGAGCTGCAATTTCTAAGTGCTAAGATCACACTTAAACAGCATTAGCTTAGCACAGAATAAAACATTAAAGTACCGGTACGGTACTGTAGCGGATCGCTACAATAGCGCAAGTCACGTGACGACGATGCGCGCGCAGTCGGCCCGGGTAGGCACGCACAGCGAGCCAAGAGACCAGTAGTGTAGTGTCGACCGCCTCGAGCTGTACATCTAATCCGGATAAGTACCTAAGTTAGAATGTGTCTAGATAGCTTCGTAGGGGTTGGGGAAGGGTGTAGGCTAGGGTAGGTAGTAATTAAATTATGTAATTTATTAGGTTCTCGAATGGTCGTGGTCTGGCAATGAATTTCACAAATTTAGAATTCAATTTGCTAAATCTAGTTACCTTTTTTCACGAATTAGAATAAGTCCATATATATATTTCTCTGTTCATTATATTATAATTAGATACATTAAGAACATAAAAGCTGGGTGTGATAGGCAGCTAAGGTAATATTGTGCACTTTGACGAGTTAAATCAATTCCTTGCAATAATTTATTAGGTTCTCGAATGGTCGTGGTCTGGCAATGAATTTCACAAATTTAGAATTCAATTTGCTAAATCTAGTTACCTTTTTTCACGAATTAGAATAAGTCCATATATATATTTCTCTGTTCATTATATTATAATTAGATACATTAAGAACTTAAAAGCTGGCTGTGATAGGCAGCTAAGGTAATATTGTGCACTTTGACGAGTTAAATCAATTCCTTGCAATAGAGTTGGGTTACGACAGGAAATGTGCGTGATTTGGCAGTGGTTAGAGGAAGATATATAGGGCCCAGGTATCTTCATTTACACTCATACTACACCACATCATCACAGTACTCTAATAACACATATGTGACTAAAAATAAAATTTAAGCTTAGAAAATAGTAGTTTACACAATCACCTAAATATAATCTTTATAACACAAGTTAGGCAAGTTGCTGACACTACTTTACCTACGGCTCTTTAATTATGGTAGTAAAACTTCAACCCCATTGCTCCGTTACTTTACCACACTAGTGCAGTAAAGTAAGTTAAGAGTGTTGAAAGTGAATAATTTTGATAATACAAATTTAATTGAAAATGCTGGTTTAGTTTAAAAACAGTTGTAAGTCAAGTTTATTTTTAAATCAAGCATAAAACAATTGATCAAAATCCACATGATTCATTCTTGGTGAGATAATAAGTAACTTCTCTCTGATCATAAATTTACTTGAACGTGTATCTTTATTTTCTCCTGTATGGTTTTATTTTTATTTTTTCAAAGACAAGTATGATTATCCGTTATATCATAGTGTTCCAGATACAGTAGACTCCCTCTTATCCGGACACCTTTTAACCGGACATTGGTTTAACCGGACTACACTCGGCGGAAATGACATCTTCCACCGAACAATTTTTTTTGTTTGTTACCAGACAATTTTTATTAGCACATTGGTTTAACCGGACTAGATCGGCAGGAAGTGGGCGGTACTGAAACGACTGTTCTCTTGGGAAAGATTTGAGACCAGTGATCACGTGTCTAAATACAATGCTCTCCTAAATTTGAGTTGAATATCACAGTAAACGGTCCGTTTTAACGAGTTTTTGGGGACGTCGGTTTAACCGGAAAACCCATTAACCGGACTGGCCTCAGTCCTGGAGTCAGGATAAGAGGGAGTCTACTGTAAGAGGAAGTGTATTATATCCACAATTACCCAGTCTTTGGGTAAAGAAACCTATAGTAATGAAATATTTTATGTAACATCCTTTAAACAACAATAACATTACTTGATATTTCATCTTTAATGCTATATTTACAGATTTAGAATGAGAGAGTGTAACATGATGATATCCACATCAATCCTTGAGGAAGGAATCGACCTGCCAAAGTGTAACCTGGTGATACGCTACGACGTGCCAAAACATTACAGATCCTACGCTCAGTCCAGGGGACGAGCGAGAGCGCAGGACGCTCAGTTTATCATGACTATTGAGAAACAAAGCCGCAGCACATTCATCTCCAACCTTGCCCAGTTTATTGAGATTGAGAGGGTAAGTTAGTTGTACTTGGTGATTATTGAGATTTACATACCTCTGTTTAAGTTTTTATCAAACAATAATACTACTTACTCTTACTCCCATGGTCATTTGTACCCTAAGTGGTACTTGGCCTCGCTAACACACTGCCTCCACGCCGTCTCTTGCGGTGTCTTCATTGACTTCCATTCTGGCCATATCTTTCTTCACTTCATCCCTCCATCTTTTGTTCGGTCGTCCCCGTGGTCTTCTCCCCATCAGACCACAATTCCACACTTGATGTATTGTGTTTGTTACGTCTCTTCTAATGATGAGGCCCGTCCATCAAAGCCTGCTTTAGCTTCTGTGATTATACCAAGCTTCTTGAAAAGGTCTCTTAGTTCTCAATTATGTTCAGTCCTCCATGTACTGAATCCCCGCTTTAGTAGAGCGAACGATTTTGCGCAGGGCTTTATTTTCAACAGTAGCTTAACTCCTAAATATTTAAAGGAACCAACCTGTTCATATTTTTGTTGTTCTATTTCTGTTATGTTTTTCTGCTTTCTGCTCCTCTTCCAAATCTAACAATTTTGGTTTCATTGTCATGCGTTTTCAGGCATTATCAAACTATAGTCTTTTTTGTGATATTATGTTTAGAAACGTTCAGTTGTATTGAAAAACAAGCAAAATAACTTAAAGATTGAGTTAAATGAACACAAATTTATACTTAATTTTTTACAGTTTTAGATTTGTATTTAGCCTACTTTTAACTCATTGTTATTGTCCAAGTTTCCACCCCACAGTAACATGACTTATCTGTAGCACTCTGCGGGCCAGACTTTTTTACTTCACATCTCAAGCCAAAATCAGGCTGGTTTTAGAAAATCATGAGTTTTGAAAGTGTTAAAGGGTTTCCACGGACCGGGAAGGTCAGAAAAACAGGTATAGGGTCAGGGAAGGTCATGGGAAGTTTTTAAAAAGGGCCAGAAGTCAGGAATTTTTTAAAAAAATAATGTAAAGTCAGGGAAATTAAATACTACTTTAAACTAGATTGTGTTAAAATATTTTTTTTTATGATCAGTTATGTTGAAATGAAATAGTTGCTGAAAAGGTTACTTAGGTTCTAAAAAATCAATTGTATATGCAATTTCTATTACCCTTTTTTTTTAGAGCTGTTAGTTTTTAGAATTTGATTTCTTATACTCCCAACCGCAACAAAACTGCAGGCTATGATAATTTCCATTTAGGCTAAGGCCAGGTAGCCTACAAAGTTAAATAGGATGCTGAATATTCTTCAAGCACTACAGTATAGGTGATGGAAGGTTAAATAATAAATAATAAAATAAAACAAATTCTTTATTTATCAAGCGTTTCACAGTACAACTTTTTTTTTAAATAACAACTTTCGTCAATAACAATAACAAAACTAACAAATAAATAAATAGAACAATAACAAAACAGAAACAAGACAGTATAAATAACAATAATCAACTATCAGCGTACAATTCTTTTATCTTAATTCTAAAGGATGACAAGGCATACTTTTTTATGCCAGAGGGGAGGTTGTGGTACTGCTTTGGGCTAAAGTACGAGAAGCTTCTCCTTCCAAACTCAAACCTCACTCTTGGAAAGTGAAGCAGGAGACTTCAGTAGGATTAAATGTATCCTACAAAACCTGTATACACTTTGTTCGCTACCATAACCTCTTGCTATCTGCTCAAAACAACTTAGAGGTTAAGATTAGATAGCCTGTATAGCTAAATAGGATATAGAATATTCTTTAATTACCAACCATACCAAGGATAGGAGTCAATAAACAATAGTTATTTGTGTAACTAGTGGGCGAAGTGGCAATTTGCTACACTTGAGAGAAACATTTACGCCCAAGCCGTTTATTATTGTGTAAACAAAATTTCACATAAACTTTCCTGTTTTTATAGATGCTGCTGGCTCGTTGCACAAATTGCGAGCCGTCTGACGGAGAAGAAATAGAGGCAGACAAATTCAACAACTGCGTTCCAACCTTCTGTCCGGGAACCACTCCTGTTACGATGAATTCAGCCATTGGTCTTGTGAATAGGTAACTTTATAAAGATTTTACATTTCATACAAGACCTATTACATTTCAATTTTAATAATGTTCCTCCTAAGGATGAGATAAGGTAGTACAGTGCTTGAATCAAACTTGTATAACGTAAAACATGTATTTTTATATTCTACCATTAGTTTCCAGTATATTTAAATACTAGCTAGACACAAGACCAAATATAAATTGCTAAAATGTATAGTGAGTATATAAGATAGATCTCAAGGGTCTAAGTTTTAAGGATTTTTCTGTTATAGCAAGCTAATGGGAAGGAGAAAGAGTCAATTAAAAACAAGTACACAACACAAAATGCTTGTAAAATTTCTTGTAGTATTTAGCACATGTAGCAAAAATGCTACAAGCTTTCAGAGAAATGTAGCAAAAGTACTGTGGTAATGCAAAGATGTCAGCTAGTATCGGCATAATGAACGGTTCTATCCAATATTCATTCTGATGACATCATGTGGGGTTAAATTTCATGTTTCAGTACACATGAGTATGATGAAAAAAGGTTCTGAGTTGAAATTTTTGTTATCCAATCTTCAATAAGTCACCATCTCCAACGACTGCTGCAAAATCGTCATTGTCTCAGCCGAACTGTACATAGTGTTTGTAGGGCTTGCCTGAAAATTTTCAACCAGCTCAGGAACTTCGTCATCCTCTTCGATGGCAGTTTTACCACCAGCGCCACTGCTTGCAACACTTGTAGCCAATCGCTTTGTCAATCCAACTGACTAAGAATTCCTGGTAACATTTATGTGATTTGCTTGTTTTCTCCATGTCCTGTAATGGCAAATGTGTTGGCGGCCAATGAGGCTTGGGCCTTGGGATTGTTGAAGTGAATAACACTTCCATTTTCTTTAATCATATTAACCTCTTCAATACCTGGTATACTATTTGCTGAAAGCTTCTTTAAAGAGCTCTGAAGTTTCTTATCGTCTGCTGCAGCAGTAGCATGAACAACCTTCTTCTTTCTTCTCGGTGTACCTTTCCCTCCGATCCTCACTTGGTCCTGAAGTTTCTTCAACTTTTCTTGATTCATGGCGATTTGTTTAGGTTTGATAAGGAAAAACGAAAACTCTACTTTTACAGAAAGCAAGAACTAAGTATATAATAAATAGCATATAAATAATAATAAATAAATAAATAAATAAATAAATAATAAATAATAAATAGCGAATAGCATATAACAAACAACACATTTATGAATAAGGTATGCACTAAAGTATCAACACACACGTGCTTAGTTTCTTGCACACAGAGAGAACGTTTTAATTGTTTACGGACCTCGCATAAACTAAATGAGTGTACTTAAAAAACTAGCTGTTTTAAATGTGGAGCAAGACACAACAGTTTACTACATAATGATGATATTGGCCTAACCAACAAGGCTCAGGTTAGGGTAGGGCAGAATAATAAAGTAGGTCCTAATGAAAATTCCATTCAACCAGCTGAAAAATTTAAGTCAAGTCCCTTGCATGCATGCAGCAGTGTTAGGTCTTCTTTAGTTTTGTTAGGAACTGCTTTAATTCATATAAAGGATAGATCAGGTCAATTCCAACCAGTTAGAACTTTGTTTGATTCTGGATCTCAGACTTCTTTATAACTAAAGATTGTTGTCAGCGCCTGTGCCTTCCTCTAAAGAAATTCAATAAACATGTATCTGGTATTGCAGAATCTACTGTTTTATCTACTAAAGGAGTTGTATCGTGCCTTTTACCTTCCTTCCATAATGTATCAAAGACGAATACAAACATTTACAACTTGCAGATCCTACTTTTGACGCACCAGGAAAAATTGAATTTTTGTTGGATGCAGACTTGTACACTAAGGTAATGAATGGCGGGCGGATGCCTGCTCCCAAAGGTTACCCCGTTCCTTACCACAGTAGTTTCGGATATATTTTGATGGGTCCAATTGATCTTAATGGCAAAACACAACCATATGACCAGATTTCATCTATTGTTTCCAATGTTGCAACCATTGAACATCCTCTAGACGATCAACTTAGATGTTTTTGCGAATTAAAAAAGTTCCCAGTCCATGCATCAGTTAACCCTGAAAAATAAAAATGTGAGATGACCTATTGTAATGCTGTAAAACGGGATCAGGAAGGAAGATACATAGTTCCGCTCCCGTTTTAAAACGAAGATCCCAAGATTGGAGAGTCTTATGGGAACATGAATTCGTCGATCAAAGCTATGAAAAGAATGAACAACTACGAAGTCTACCCAAAAAATGGTGTAGCTCAAACTATTATGTATCAGAATATTTCCAGTCACTATCGCCGGATCTATAATGCTAAACCTCGCATAGACACTAGCCCACCTTTTTCTCGCAGACCTAAGCTACACAATACATCTAAACATCATACTTGGAATAAAAAAGGTAGTGAATTTTTCATACAGAAGCAGAACAAGTCATCAGTTTCCTCGAGCTCAAGCAAATGCAGTAACTACTTAATCACACAGTTTTGTGATTTTTTTCTGTTAGTGTTCTGTTTATTTAACTAATCGAAAAAATTGGTGTTACCCTTTACCATAGACTTCTTAATTGTTCCTTATTGAAAAGAAAATGTTTCTTTTGGTGGGCGGTATGTTAAGGCCCAATCCATATATATAATCAACCCTAATACACTTTCATATTATACTGTACAGACACAAAGATTAAATTAGAAACATATGTTAAAAGAACAAAAACAATTAGTACAAGAATTTTAATGTAAAATAAAGAACATAAATGAAGTGAGTGAATGTTATTTTACAAGTATTACTTTCAACAAATCTTTATTTTATCAACTTATCAAAAACAGTGGTTGTAAGTGTATCCCATAAACATGCAGGTCACCAATGGCCGTTTTGCTACTTTTTGTAAAAATAACCTTCCTCTCTATATCCCTTAGAGATTTGAGTAAGCAACGATATATCGTTGCATGGCACTTAAAGGGTTAAAGTCACATATTTTTCATTAATTTGATTTAGCTGCAGCAGTCCTTCAGTGTTGATTTAAGCCTTTTCCATCCTAATTCTCTGCATAAAGCTTCATCACTTCCTTTCAGACATTTTCCTTTATAATTAATTCATATTTATGACAACTGATTAACTTATAAGAATGCTACACTGGTTTACATGCATGGCACAGTCAAGGAAATGTCTAACATCTTTATGAAGTATATTTCTCAGTTGTGACGTAATTTTCCACACTGAAACATATAACACTAGTTTACATGCCAGGTTTAAGTACCACGTGCTATACAGCACATTTAGTTTCCGGATAGGCCTCAGTACGGAGATTTGGGTTGGCCTTCCAGGGTTCGCGTCAAGATGTTACTTTCACGCTCAGCCGTGCCGTCGCCCTGGCTGAGGTTAACAGCGTCGGAGATCTCGAGCATCTGGTTCATCACACAGATGTCGCCGTAGTCCGGATCAATCCTCACGGACCGGTCACTGCCCCTTCCACCGCAGTGAGACGTGGTGGCCTTCCATGGAAGCTAGTCGCCACCCCCGAAATCGTCTTCGTGTTCAGCACACGACATCCAGCCAGGCACTTGGGTTGTGCACACCAAGTATGGGTTGGCTCAATCTGCTGTTGTAGCCTAGGGTCCACGGTCGCCCTCCTGTCGTCACAGCTGCAGGCTGAGGCTCATTCCGCCCCCCCCCCACTCTTCGTAGTAGGCTGGGGCTCATCCGGCCTCACCTGGCCGTCGTTGCAGGCGGGGTCTGTTGTGACCACCGTCGATGCTACTGCAGACTCGGGTCATACTTCCCATCCGTCGCCGCTGTCGTCTGGGCATCTGGTTTCTCACACAGATCCCTGTCGGTGCTGTCGTCTGGGAATCCGGCTCATCGCACAGACCCCTGTCTCTGCCGCTGTATGAGTGTCCCGCTCATTGCAGGGACATCCGTAATTCCTGTCGTATACGTGTCCTGTGCGTTGCTCAGAACTTGTCGATATTATCGTATGGGAATCCGGCTCATCACACGGACCCCTGTCGTTCTCGTCGTTGTATGGGAATTCGGCTCACCGCACGGACCCCTGTCACTGCCCCTTCCACCGCAGTGAGACGTGAAGACCTTCCATTGTCGTTAGTCGTCATCCCCGAATCGTTTACATGTCCACATGTAGCCCCAGGAGAATCTGGCTCAACACACAGATCCCAGCGTCGTAGCGGTACCTGGGGAGCTCCGCCTGCCGCTGTAGTCGGGGTTCGGATCACCCACCTAGCGTCGCAGCTACTACGCCTTCACTGCAGGCTGGGCGTCCATCGTGGCCCCAATCGAGACTACAGCCGGTAGTCCTCGGTCCCGTCGGTCTCCGTCAACGTCCTGGGTGTCTGTCTGGTTCTGCACACAGACTCGTGATGTCGCGGTACCTTTAACTTAGCCAACTCAACCCGCCACTGTAGCATAGGGTTCGAGCTCACCCGTTGACTACGGCTACAGGCTGAGGTGCATTCCACCCCCCCACTCGTCGTAGGCTGGGGCTCAGCCCTCCTCACCTGGTCTTCACCACGGCCTGGGTTTTCCAGCCCGCGCGCCCTATATCGGTACTACAGCCGGGGAACCTACTCGTACGTTTTCGTCGCTGACGTCCTGAGTATCCGGTTTCTCACACGGACATGTGTCACTGCCCCGTCCGCCGCAGTGAGCTGCGTGGTGGCCGTCCGTTCGTAGTTGTCGTTTGCCACCCCCGATGTGGATAGTCATTTACACCACGCCAAGATCCACCACAACGGTTCAACACTCGTTGGGTACACGTTGACCAAGCCCCGGTTGTCTCGCTGACCGTTGTTCTCCGTTGCAATGGTTGGTTTATCACGCAACAACTGCCGCTGGAAAATCAATCGAAGAACACCGAAGCTGGCCAACAGCGTGATGTGAGTTCCTCTGGTTGGTTTATCACACAACCCCAGCCGTTCGAGACTCGTAGTAGGCTAGCTGACTGCTCCACGTCAATCTTCCGTCCGCTAACGAGTCGCTGGTTCCAGTGTCGTGAGTTGCTCGTCAGTCCAGGTAGGTTTAACACGCTACCGCAGCTGCTGAAGCGTCGATGAACTCCATGGTCGTCACCAAAGGTAGGTTCAACACGCTACCACAGCTGCCGAAGACACGCTGAGTCCACGCCGACTCGCCAGTCCCAGACCATAGGCCAACTATCCAATTCGCACCAAAACAATCTCATCACCTGTCGTAAACTCATAACACAAAATATTAAAACACATTTAAATCGTTAAGCATGAAATAATACTCAAAGGGTTAGTCACGGATTATCTCACATGACACTAACCAAACATCGTTAAATAATCAGAGATTAAATTACCAGACAGAAGGAAATATAAAAATGCCTTGTTACTTAAGACGAAAATTAAAACGAGTAACCAAGGCCGAAACGAACTATCCACTTCTGGTTTCCATTAATCTCTAACATCTTTATGGCAAACACGTAGTTTGAAACCATAAAACAACGTAAAACTCAGGCCTAAGGCCACTACTACCAACACGCCATGCGTGCCGATCGGGACGTGCTGAACTAGCACAACTAGTCACTGGCTACTACTAATAGATTTGTATGATGAGATTAAATTGTTTTGGGCTTACTAAAAATGGATTAAAAATACACTGGCCTCGTAATATTGTATTCGTTATGTTATGGGTTTAACACACCATCGTGATCAAGTCAACTTTGCCTAAGTCCATTGGTTTAACAGGAGTGAAAATATAAAATCTAGTAAAACTGATTTTAAAAACTAGTATCATAGACTAACCAACACAAGTAGACTTCTCATCGCATTGTAAATTTTGAAGCACGTTTTTCGTGTCTAGTTCATGTACGTGACACAAAGGCGCTAGTGTCGACGAAACTTTGTTTCTATTATTTTAGGGTTAATTTCTTGATTTGTGCTTTACTGTTTGGTTATATAACTAGGGGACAAGTTATTGTTTATGATTAGATCGTATTATTTGGTTAAACGAGGTTTTAAATGGCTGTAATAACAGGAAACAAATTGTAAACAAAACACGACCTCTACTTAAACCGTACAGAACTAACAATAAAATTGTCTTCAGCTGTTCCATAAGGATGAGAAATCTACTAAGGGAGTATGTTTTATCTATGCTAGTATTTTACACCCTGGCAATAGTTAACTCGGTTTACCTTATGCCTTATATCTATTGAAATACAAGACTTACAATTTTACTTGAAGTATCTCGCGAGCTAACTAATGCTTCACCAATAACGATGTCGGGACTAACTCGAACTTGTCGTGGTAGTTGCTGGTGAGGAACTAACTTCCTTACTTGCCGTCTGAGGGTTCCTCGGTTCATCCCTCTCGCTCCCCTCTCTAGCAAAGTAGGGGGCTCAGCTGATCAGGAACGTCTGCTGTTTCTTAACCCGAAAAAAGCTAGCCGGCCGCCGTCGTCTGCAGCCGCCAACACTCGAGCTTGTTGTTGTTGTTGACTGTAGGTTATGTTGTGTTTGTTTCACACGACAATGAGATTTAACTTCAAGTTGTCGGTTTATATTATTCACTCCGCATTTCCTCACGTCTTAGAGACGGATTATAGGCCTAAGGCCATGATCTGCGGGTTTACTAAGTGTAGAAAGTTTCTTCAAAGTACCAAGCCGGGTTGAGCCCTAGCTTGTGAAACACATCGCTGGTGAGTCAATAAGCTATAAAACACTGTATAAGGTTTATATCACGCTCATACAGTATTAATAACTCTCGTTCTACACTTAGTTATTACCAAACACAACAGTGTATCATGCCTTTAGTTACTATGGAAGTTATAACTAAGGTTAGCCTTCTAACCTATAACCTTAGTTAGGACTGGTAGGCTATGCCTAGGGATAGGCTAGACATAGGAGTAGGCTAGTTTGACCCCCCTCAAAATAGGCACGTTACACAGTACAATTTGATTGACTGTATAATATGATTTCAGGTATTGTGCCAAACTACCTAGTGACACCTTTACCCGACTGACACCCTTATGGTCAGTTCATGAGATGGACTATCATGGCATACCAACATACTACTGCACAGTCAGACTGCCAATCAACTCACCTGTCAAACAGGACATAACTGTAAGTATCGTGTAATTTATATCAGAGCCCTCTAATTCGTCACTTTAAAACAAATTACGATAGTCTCAATGAAATAAAGGTCTTATTATCAGAAAATGTCTACTTTGGATACAACAATAGCTTGAACATACTCATAAATTTATCATTTTCGTGAATAAGCTGATGACAATTTTGAGGTTAGTTCTATCCTATTTACAGCAGAACCTCGATCAACTGTCCCCTTTTAAATGTTACTCCTTGCTACAGTATATGTTGTAATTGACGCTGTGCAAGGCAGAAAGTATATGCACTATTGTGATTGAACATGACCGTCCGCAGTTGACGACGTTGAGCTTAGTGACCAGGGTTAAATTTCTTCCTTAACCTTTTAAATCTACTTACTGTACAGGTTTATAACAGGATATCTGTTATCCGTCTATTCGCTTAACTGTCATGCTCACAGTGCCAATGGTCGGTTAATAGAGGTTCTACTGTACTTAGAGAAGTTTTGTTGTGTTATTTTTTTTCTTGCCAACACTGCAGTATAACAATCCATTGTCAATCATCTCAATCAGTGAAATTTTTATGTTCAGCCATAAAACTAAGTGCACTTAACTGTATTTACTCAGGTGCCTGCAGTTAATAATAACTCATATCCTGATGATTCATGTTCATTCTGATCATTTGGTATTCTAGAAAGATTATTTAACTTTGAATAAGTGTAGAGTACCTTAACGTTGCAGGTTTGTTACAATACGTTAACGTCACAGTTTGACACATATCTAGTTGAAAGCAGTGTTATTCTAAGCTTACTTTTATTAGTATACAGTACTACTTTAAGACCAAGATAAAAGTGGAAACGAAAGAGGATTATAAATGTAAATATACTTTAGAGCTGTTTAATGCACAATATTTTTTGTCATAATGCTCAAACTATTTAGATAACGTTTATACAAAATTAAAGCTCTATTACATTTAAACCATTTTGTCTTTGATCACTGATTTATACAATTTTTGTTAGTAGGTTGGACCTTCGACGGAAAATTATAAAAAGGCTGTAGGCTAGTACTGTATATTTAATACACAAACTATTTGAACATTTGACTGATTGTGTCGTACAACACTGTTCATTATCAGTGTAGACATGTCCGGTTTATTGTGTCAGCTGTGGACGATAGACAATACACAATAAATTCTCTTCATTTGTGATTCTTTAACACGTTGACTGCGGCCTATGTTATTTAACATAGAGCAGGACTGGCGCACACGACAGACTACGTTGCACTCCCAACTCTAAGGTATTGATCCAGTGTGGAGGTGGTTGTGCAATTGCCGTGAGACATTGTGTCGCTTGCCACTTATTGTGCCAGTTTTAAATTCAATCTGGTATAATTTGTTTTTAGATCCGACTATTTTATCAGTGGTGGGGACTGTTCCAAAATGTTGTGTCTAGTGTGGGGTTAGGCTTAGGTTTAGTGACATAAAATAGAATAACCACAATTTGACAAAAGTCAAACATTGGGGAAGGAACCTAACCTCAAAATTGTGCTTGATGCCTCTTTTGTAGTATTTTTTTATTGTATATCCGGGTACTTTGTCCCTGCTTTTCCCCTCCATTTGGCAATACTGAGGGCCTGCTAGCATTTTTTTTAGTGCTTCGCTATCTGTTGGGTTCTTGTAAAATTATGTCCACAACAAAATGCAGTACTTGCCATGACATTCCTCTCATTTAAATACAACTAAATTTAAACGTTTTCACACACTAATCCACACAGCACATTTACTGTTCCAGCCACCGGCCGCAGCCAGGGCCGATTTACCGAATAGGCATTATAGGCATGTGCCTAGGGCTCAAGACGATTGGTTTTTCTGGGGGTGCCAAAAAATTGGAAAAATAAATTTGGTGGTTGTATTTGCATGAGATCGCAGTTAACTTCTGATAATCCCTCGCGGCTGTGACATCATTGACTCCCGCGATTGCGGCAAAATGTTAACTATTTAATTACCACGGTAGTTTTTGTCATGAATTTTGTAGAAATATGCCATGATCGCGGAAGAATACTGACTATTTCCCATGGTTGTGTAGACATAATTATCGTCTTCCATGATCGCGTCAATATATGAACACATCTCACGGTCGTGAGGAGATTTTCATTGTCTAACACGAATGAGGCAAAACTCTGATCTTTTCCTGCGGTTGTGTGGATATTATCATCGTCTTGCGCGATCGTGGTCAAATTCTGAACATCTCTCGTGGCCGTGAAGACATCATTATATTGTCTCCCGCTGGCTTGTGGACATATTAATCATCTCCCGCGATTGCGACAAAGCGGCAAAATGTTAACCATCTCCCACGGTCGTGTGGCGATTATCATCGTCTTCCGCGAATAAGGCAAAATTCTGATCTTTTCCTGCGGTCGTGTGGGCATTATCATCGTCTCCAGCGATTGCGTAAATTTTTTTATCATAACCCACAGTCGTGTGGAGATCATAATCTTTTTCCAACGATTGCGGCAAAATTCTGACTGTTTCATGCGGTCCAGGAAATTATCGTCGTCTTCCGTAATCGCAGCAATATTCTGATCTCCCTCGTGGCTCTGTAGATATCATCATCGCTTTGCAAGATCGTGACAAATTGTGATCAAATCCCACGCTTGTGTAGACATTATCATCGTATTCTGCAATCGCGGCAAAATATTCTGATCATCCCTTGCGGCCGTGTGTATCTCTTCCGCGGTCAGGGATACGCCACTGTTGGTATGCACAATCGCGGTGAATTAATTATTCCTGGTAGGAATACAAAATTCACGCATAATTCCCGGTTCAAAAACTCAAGCATAACTCACGGAATTCCTGTTATTGCAAAGGGGTGCTACTATTAGTTTTACCTAGGGCGCTGGCAGGTAAAAAAACGGGCGTGGCCGCAGCCGGCCATCGCTCAACTGCAGCGAATGTGTTAAAGGAATGAAAATGTGTCACAAAAATATAAGAAGTTCTTGCATTACAGAGGTGACAGATTTTTCATGTGCCACTCTGCCAACCAGTCCAGTTGTTGGTTAAGTTTGTTTCCTGTTTCATTCTTGAGGATGTTTGGCAATGTATTTATGATTCTTCGTCCAATGAAGGAGGGGTTTTTTGGTTGCGTTGTGATGTATGGCAGACCGGAAGACTGAAACAAGTAGATCTTGTGTTGTATTAGGAGTGGAAATCGTAATTCCTGGGGAAGTTCAGGTTATGTGTGTACATGACAACTGCAAGGATGTATAGGGCCATAACTGTTTAAAGCTTTAACTGGAGAGTGCCCTAATAGTCTTTATTTTGGATTGCTAGGATTTTACTTAGGTTTGTTTTAGAGGTTCCCCCCAATATAATCAATCCATATCTTATCATGTGATTCAATTATAGGGTGGTATGCTGTCTTAACAGTTTCTGGCCCTAAGCATTATTTAAGCAGTCCATATGCATTTGCCCCTACACATAGACTAACTGCCCGTGGTGGATCGTATACAGCAAAGCAAGGAGTGAGCCGGTACAGTACAAAGGTGATCTGTACTGATAAAATGTTTTCGGCAGTGACCAGGATCCGAACCCATGACATCGCTGCCTTGAGCCGAAGTCCGTGACGCTACCGACTCACTAATAATTATTATTATATATTTTAACTAGGCCTAACTTCATTCTTAACCAAATAAACCCCAGATGAAAGCTTCTTAGTCAGGTTGTAAGAGTGGTCATTCCAAGAGAAGTCGTCATCAAATGTCATATCCAGCAGCTTTGCATTTCTTTCTACTAAGATGATGTGAATTTCTGATATTTTCTCCTTTTTCCAGTCCTAATCAAATTTATCTCTGCCGTTTTTGATGGATTGATAGCTTAATCATCTTGTTGGGCATTATCATAGTTCTTACCCCACTATGATTACCTGAAATCTCTCCATCATTTACTAGGTCAGGATATCTACTTTGACTCTGAGAGAGGCTTGTTATCAGTTACAGGCTGAAAGAGTATTGCTGCACCCTGGAATTTTGTATGAACTCATAAAGTTTTAGGTTAGTCGGTGGCTCATTCGTAGTGTGACAAGACAGCGATGTCGTACCCCACTAATACTTATCCGTACAGTTCATCCTCGTACTGTATCGGCGCTCTGCTTGATTTGCTTGACTTTTCACGTACAAGTTGTTAGAATCTTTTGAGGACAGGCAAATACTAGCTTAAAAGGCGCTGCCACCTCTTACACAAATCTAGTAAGATTATTGATCAATGGTTAGATTAATCGATACTTGTCAATAATAAGAATAAGAATAAGAAATATTTATTTCCATTGATCTTTACAAAAGAAATAGGTCACTGTAGACTATTAATAATCAAAGGAAAGCCTTGTTTTGGATTAACCATGGTGGTATTTGTATATATTCAGAAAAAAAATAAGCTTAACACTTTCAATGCGACTTGGCAATGGCAGACCCCAACAGATAGCAGCACTAACCAAAACTACCAGCCGGCTTTCAGTACTGTCAAATGGAGGGGAAATGTAGGGATGAATTACCCGGATACACCATAAAAAAACACAAAAAAGTGGTCAAGCCCAATTTTGAGGTTATGTTCCTTCCACAATGCTATATTACATTCATTAACGTTATTCTATTGCATGTCATTAGATCCAAGCCTAAACCCCACACTACAATAAATTTGTAACCGTCCCTACCACCAATCAATATAATAGTCGGATCAGAAAACGAACTATACCATATTGAATTATAACACTGGCACAATAAGCGGTAAGCAAAACAACGTCTCACGCCAGTGGCTAACCTCTCATTGGAACAACGGCGCCACTGGAAAGCGCTAACGGTTACGAGATTACTTGTCATCCACAGTGAACGTGTTAACAGAACAGATTTTGGGATTAGGGTTATTGTAATGATTTACCTATACCTAGTTATAATAGTTCAGAACAATATAGGTATGGCTTGCCTTTCATTTGTCGGTACTTAAGTCCTTGGAGGAAAAGAAACCACTTATGCAGCGCAATGATTATGTGACAGTGGTAAACCTCCGGCCTAACTGGAGGCTTACCTCCCTCCACTACTACTTTGAGCTACTTTGGGTGACGTGATTCAGGAATCAAACTCAGCACTCGCTTACAAAACCTTTATTTCAGCCCGCAATACATACAAATATTAATAACAAACAGCAGGTAGATTACACAGTGTTTGAAACATAAACCCCGAATTTGAAAACCCTTAACATTGTCTTACCTGAACCCGGTACTCTAGTACACGACACTACTACTCCACACAAAACTGACCCCCTGATCACACCGACCTACTTAATAAAGCCATAGCCTTCTGTCAGTAAGCAAAACAAATTAGGCCTATTGTTTAATAAAACAAGTTTTGTTGCAGTATAACTTTATATTATTTAAGAACTGTTATATGTATAAAAATATGTTTTCCTGTATAAGATTTTGTTAGTTATGAAGGGATTTTTTTCATTGTTTATTATTTTATTTGCTGAAGACACTCTTTTTACCATAATAATGTGAAATAAATTATGTTTAGGGACATCCAATGCCCAGTAAAGTGATGGCCAAGAGAATAGCTGCATTTGAGACTTGTCGAGTGCTCCACCAAGCTAAAGAATTGGATGATAATATGCAGCCCATTGGAAAGGTAAGTCAATACACTAACTTAGTGCTTTAGTAATAATCCCCCTCTCCCCATGCCTCTATCATAACATTTCCCAATTTACGTCAGTCCCTACCATTCTTGTATTCTAAGTATCCTTCCCAGTTCAGCTTTTGTTTTCATGACTGAAGGCCTGCACACACTGGAGCGGTGAGAGCGGTGGTGGTATCAGCATGTCTTTTCATCTCCCCCATCCACCATCATCGCCACGGCCGTATCGCTGAGGCATTCATACCGAAGCAATTCCTCACCACAGTGGTGACGGCAGCCACAGTAATTTTTCATCCTCATTTATAAGTGCGCAGTCAACAAGAGTGTGGTGTGTTGTTAGTTATAAATATGTTTACCGTACATCAGACGATGAAGAAGAAATTTTGCCCACATCCAATCTTTCTTCTTTATGTTCTTGAACTCACGGTGATCTAGTTGGTAAAGCACTGAGTGCCAATAAACATTTTCGATCAGGAGCTCAGTTGTCATATTGATTGTTGGAGTCCTGGATACAAATGCCAGGCTCGTCACATCAGCACCGCTGTCCCTGGTGGGTGGTGAAATGGATCATGCTGCATCTCGGCGGTGCAGTGGTACGGGCGGGGGTATACGGCTACCACTCCAGTGTGACAGCCTGCATTTGCTTTCGTTGTACTAAATCACGCCACGAAGATCGCACCACTACTGCTCCGCCATACCGCTCCATTGTGTGTACCCCTTAATACTCCCTAATTTAACCAAATTGCAAATGACAACAAAATGAAAAGTGGTGTTAATTTCCCACAAATTGCACAAACTACGAAAATGATTTTTATTCCGAACTCTTAGTTTATAATTCAGATCAACAAGCTCTGCTTAGGCCTTAAAGGCCCTTAGGTAAAACCCACATTGTTGTTATCTGTGGGAAAACTCTTGGGCCCTAGGTCAAGGTCGACGGCAACATGTGATTGGTGACATTGGGATATGCCCTGCCAACCAGATCAATTCCCCAGGTATACCTTTCTGCCTTAATTTTTTTCCACCAATCACCCAAATACATCTTCTGTTCCAAAATCAATATTCCAAACCATGTTCCGCCCTTAACATTTTCACACTTTGGCCCAAAAAACTTTTTCCAATTACAGATTCATCAGTAACTTTCGGTAAGCGAAATACTGGGAAATTAGAAAATGTTAAAAATTTAAGGTGCATTAATTTGTTAATTAAAGCATAACTTCTCAAAACGAATACAGGGTTAGGATATAATTAGGAGTGATGTTCAGCAACATCTTTTTTATAAGATTTTTATGAGCAATTTCTAACAGAGCACAGTAATGTAAAATACTTCTGAAAACAGCTTCGATAAATATTATTTACATTTTCAGAGTAACGTCATCTACCAGCCTTAGAAGCGTGTTACTATAATTTATAGTAATGGTACAGGACCCATAGGATCGTTAAGGCTCAATATAATCAATCTAGTGTTGCGAGAGACATTCTGAATTGAATAATAATGATCTTAAATTAATTACTGAGCCACAAACCACATCCATATCACAGCCATTTTGATGATCTAATATTAATAATGCATCTATTATTAATTTAATAAGTAAAAGAACAATGAAAACTTCTGCTCGTACCTTAAGGGTACGAGTGTGCTCAAAAGTATAAATTACATATTAAGCTGAAATAAATTTTAGTTTCCTAAGCCCTTAATCCCCCCTTTTCTGAAAAGTTATAACATATTCGTAAATCTCTTAGACTAAGGATAAATTCAAAAATAAACTTAAGGGGTTTTTAATTGATAGCGAATTTTATAGTTTAGAAAGTTTTGAACACTGTAACAAAAAAACTGTATGACTAAGCAAGTAGGGAAGTAGGTGAAATCATGTGAAGTAGTTTTAGGTTGATGACACATTCATGTACACTTGTTGTATGTATTGAATAAAGATTTATTGATTGATTGATTGATTGATTGATAACTTGTCAATTCAGCGATGGAGTCCAGCCTTGACCATTGAAGTCCGTCCACACCCTCTTGAATCCGGAACACGACTCAGATGCCCTCCCCGCGCTTCATATCCCCTCCCCCAAGTTCTCCAGCGATCAGCTGATTGACCGCGAGCGTCACACCCTTACCATGCTAAATTAGTTGCCTAATTGTTTAGCTTCTTCTCTGTAAAATGTTTTCCCATAACATTGTCGTAGTAAATATTTAAATATTTATAACTGTTCACCTCTTCAATCTGATTGCCCTTATACCACCTTTATCATAACCGAATAATTTAATCCCCTTTTCTGAAAACTATTATTCTGAATTCTGACAGATTTACTGTATGTTTCAAACTGCACTGCAACACCACAAGTTTCTAATCATTTGTAACATTGTTGCTGTGGTGGCCAGCAGTACAATGTCGTCTGCATTCATCAATACATTTACTCGTTTGTCACTGAAATTGCAGCCCCCTTTCTTCACCCCTGGTAAATCGTTTTTGAACAATCTGAACAGGAGAGGACTTACTATATAGCCTTGCCTTAAGCCAGTTTTTGTTCCAAACCCTTTTGAAATATCACCCAACCTAACAGCAGCATGTTACAATAGTAACTACTCAAAACATTAAATTATGTGTGTTGAGATGCCAACTAATAAGAGTTTTATTATAAGTGAATGAATGTTTTTGTAACCCTTTGGTAGACTAGACCCACCTTTTTACCTTTAAATTTAATTTTCCAGGAAAGCTTGACAAGTCTAGAAGAAGACGATGACGAAGAGGAAATCATCCCAGTTGACTCTTTAGAACCTCGTCCTGGGACAACCAAGAGGAGGCAGTATTATTACAAAAGAGTAAGCAATTCTCCAAGAGAGTTTGAACCACCAGCATAGAAACATAGGCAACCCAGTAAAGCTCCACAGTCCAATTTATTAGCCCTCAGGATTGATGTTCCTCAAACATAACTAAAATTAAGTAAAAACCATACTTCAATGAATGTGGAACCCTATCAGACATGCTCTAAACCCTAAATCGAAAACAATTAGAAATATATTTAGTCTGTAGGTTTGCTGTGACAGATATATTTAATCTGCAACCCCAAAAACGTTATTGAAAATACTCAAGGTATTTTTTATAAATACAGTAGTTGTTCAAATCGGTAATTTAGAACCCCCTGTAGATTAAATTCCACCTCAAGTAGCAAGTAAAAAAAATCATTAGCAAGTATAAATATTGTACTGGAGATTTCCCTTCACAAAGAAACGTAGTGTAAATATTAAGGTAAATGTCAAAATCATTGTTATTTTTATAAAATTTATTCTTCTAACTCACTAGAAGTGCTCTTACATGAATAACACACCAAAGCAAGCTTAATTTTCTACAATAGAATGAGCTACGGTACACCAAAGGTATTTGTTTTTTTTCGAAGTTAAAATAAAAATTTTATGGTTTGTTCAAGTGTTAAAAAACAATCGTTTAAGGGAGTGTTAAAAATTTAGTGAAACCATACCTAAACACAAAATCTTTATATGAGCATCTTGATCTTGATTGCATGGACAACTTTTAAAAATCTGCTATAAGATTTCTTCTGAACTGTTGAAAATATCTAAGTTTTATTCAAAAACAATAATCATGATGGACCCTGTTTAGGAAAATTAGATATTTCATCACTAGGACGTAACTCTTTTTGACACGAGCTAAAATTTCACTTGAGAAAATGAGCGATAATTGAAAAAAACTCTTTTTGCCCAAGTGATGAACTACATTTTTCGTCATATCGCAACATTATTCACAGATTCAGCCACTTTCAACAACTTTTTTGCATCCACTTTTTCAACAAACTGATTTAGAAAACTAAAATACTTTTCATGCAAATATAACCTCTCAAAATGACTTCCAACTTGTTTTAATTTTGCTAGTGCAAACAAGCAGCTGTTTAGTAAGTGATTCAATCATTTTGTTTATTACAATTGTGTTAGCGTGCATTATACAACTCAAACAATCGACAAGAAAATAAGCTACTACAGATTAAATCAATCGATACATAATTTCTATACAAGGGATTGTTTATAATCAAAGTTTACAACCGAGTTTGCAACAGCTGACTTGTACTCCCTAACTACTACAAAAGTTATACAGCTTTGTGGAACAATACAAGTTGTAAACTGTAAAATTCAACACTACCTTTGACCAAACCACATGCTTGACTCACCGAATAGTTAGGTTAGTTCTTGAATTCTAAAAACGACCTGCACAACTCAACATCACCCCTCGATAAATCCATGTTATGTGGACTGAGTTAATCTTGAATGGTAAAAAATTCGGATTATTCAGAATTTACTGTGTGTCCTTAAGTGTGAATTCAATGTGATAAAAGGAGGGAACAAAATAATAACATGACCTATAGTGTCACAAATTGATACATTAACAGTGTTGCAATAGTTACTTCAGTTAGTTATTATAAAGGGTGATCGGAAAAGACCGGAAGTTAAAAAAAACATCACTCGTTTTGTTTTTGTGTCAATTGTAACTTTAATTACGTTAAATATTTGTAAACTCTTCCCATTCAAGAAATACACTACTTACTTAAAATAGTTGGCTACACTTGTCACATTTCCATTACATATGGAACTGTCAGCCAGGTTAAGTCCACTTTCTTTCATGCGGGTTTCAATCCTTTACAAGTGTTTCATTACTTGTCCCAGCAACTCATGGCACCATTAATTATTGTTGCTACTTCCTCGTTAATCGTCCCTAATTGCATTAGGGTTCTGGAATTTGTAAACCTCCTCAGAATTGTATTAAAGATGGGAATGATACGATGGGGTCGAAGTTGAAAGTGGACCTGAAAAATTCGCCATGGTAGACTTCTCTTCTCACCTATGCATCAAAGGAAAACATACGGTGTTGGACCTTCCCCTTCTTCATGAATTCTCAAATGGCAATCATAGTCGAAAATCGGTGACCTCTCTCTCCCTTCGCAACAATTAAAGTCGCGTCTATACTCGCCATTTAAAAAACCTCTTGTTCCAGTCGGCCACAGTGTACTTAAACATTGATGATTATAAAAATAATGTATTTCCTAAACTATTTGTTTTCTTTTAAAACGCACAATTCAACATTTGTTGTAAAACCCAATTGTTAGAGCTCAGATGACTATATTGGATATTTGATTGCAGATCGCCAGCTCCCTGAGCAACTGTAGGCCTGTGGTAGGTCAGGGAGCGCGCCTCTACCAGCTGCAGATGCTGCTCACATGTCCTCTTCCAGAAGAACAAAACACAAGAGGGCGAAAGCTGCACCCTCCGGAAGATTCTCCTCAAGGCTTTGGGATCCTAACCATGAAGCCAATACCCAAGGTATACTCCCTGTATTGCAGAACAATTTTTTCATGTCATTTGGGGGTTTTCTACATCAATATCGGTTGTTTTAGAACCAAATTTACATCAAATCTATAGTTATAAATAAAATGAAAGTGGAACTCAAATAGTTATGTCTAAAAGCCTGAAAGTGGTCAATTCCTCTTAGGGCAAAATACGTGAGTTCTTCTGAATCAGTGATATTATTATTATACGGTTATTATTAGCTCAATTTATCAGCAATATGACACGACTTTAACCTGAATATCATAATAAGATGGAACCTTGGTAATACGACACATGGAGATTATAGCCTGTGACGTGTAAGCTGGCACTTGGACCTAGCACGTGCAGTGTAGGCGGGGGAGGGTGGAGGTAAGGAAAAGAGCGGACTGCATACAGTTCCGTTGACTCACAGGGTTGACTCATGTAATTGAGCACCTTCAAGTGGGTCGCGAGGACAGTTGACACAACCTGCGTGAGGGCACATTATCGTTGTGAACTAGAGGCTAGTAGCGATGGTTCAAGAGCCAGCTTATGAGGGACTATATAAAATAAGACTTATTATCAAGGTTGACTTCTGATCGAGGTTTGTAACAACATGTGATTAGAGGTAAAGTACATTCAAGGGGGTTTGAAAATGATACTTGTTATTGAGGGTTTTGTTATCAAGGTTCCACTGTAATGTAAAACGTTTACTCTTGAATTAGGGTTACTACAATACCCCGGTATCAAAGATTGTATCTCCAAAGGATTATTTAGTTTGTTCTTTCAAGTTTGCTAATTTGATGTTAGATGAACTATTGTTTAACTAAATGCTTAATACAATAAGGGTTTTCTGTAAAATCTCTTCCTCTTGCCTTACTAAACCGATTTTTACGATTAACGTGTAATTTTAAAGCTTATGATCCATCAGAGGGATAAATGGTAACTGAAGAGGTCATTTCCTTTAAGGCTTCACTTCCCTAGTGTTTGATTTATTTGAAGGATTTGCTTCCAAAGATCCAATTATGCTGACCAACTGTTATCTTGATTGAGGTAGTTAGCCAAAATAACTATTTATGGTTTAGATCAAATAACCAACTAGTTTAATTTATTATAAAGTAGAAGCTTTATCGCCTAATAACTGTCTTAAACAGCACAACCTTTAGAAAGTAAACTGCATTATTCAGGGAATGTTGCTGGAAGTCAACAGTCCCGGAAGATCAAATAATTTATACCTGTGCCGCTAGGTCAAAAACTACAATGTTTGCAGTGTCTGTAGATCAAAAGTCCCAGTAAGTCAAATAATACAGTCCGAGCTAAAAACGTGGTCTATGTTAAAGCAATTGACTTATTGGGAATTTGACCTAATGCAACAGCAGTTTGAATATAACGAAATACGGTAAAATACAAGTTCAGTTTCGCTGAGTCAACAGTGCCGGAAGATCAAAAGCAATAAAAGTGAACATCGATTCAGTGTAAAGTAGACCTCCTGCAACGCTTACTACACCAACAAAACTCGCTTTTAGTTACTTCGTGTTTTGTCATAATTAGAATAGAGCTAAAATTATCATATTTGGTACATAGCTTATCTATTAATGCTTCTTGCCAACTGTTTGGTCAACACTGTTAATAGGTATAGCCTTTCGTCAAAATTTGTGGCATAAAATACCCGCAAGGACGATCTGAAAATTTCTGGTTATTATATACGTTTGTAAAAGGAGATCCATTTAATTGTAGAACTATTTTATGAGTTATAATGTAGTCTACATATAAACTGTGTAAATGTATTACGCCTCGGAAGGGTTGAAACCTGTCCAAACTATCATATATATTATTAAAACGTAAATGGGGTTTTTTCACGATTCTGAATCAACCAGACGATGGATTTTCATTAGCTTTGTGTTGAAAGAAAGACAATTTTGAGAACTAGGGAATTTCAAAGCTATAATTTAAAATTAGTGTCCCAGTTTTTTATAAATTAAGTTTTAGTTTTTAAAAAGTCTAGCAGCCGATGCTAACCTTCTCCAATAAGTCAATGCTTCTAGCTAGCTTTTAGTACAATATAATTTGCTTAACATAACAGCTGTAACATTCAGCATTTGGAAGAAAATTCAAATACATACTTATGGTTGGCTTATTTATACTATGTGTAATGCTGACCATTGATATATTTAATTCTTCGGTACGAGGATGGCAGATTAATTAAATATGCATAGTAAAATACAGTAGTAGGATGTTCAAATTATTTTTTATCATCGATTTGTTTTAGTCCAATATAATTTGTTTTAACTAACAGCTGGTTGAATGTGCTATGTATACTTATAAAAGGCAAAGCCCTCACTGACACACTCACTCTCACTCACTCATCATCACTAATTCTCCCACTTCCCATTTACCTAGGAGGCTGAAATTCGATACACCGATTCTTTGAGCATTAAATAGGAAAACTGAGTAATTTTTATTATGATAGGGCATTCGAGCTTCGCCCCAGTGGCTCTGGAGTTTCCCATGTTAACCTTATGATTTTTCATATTTAAAAGGAATTAATGAATCTTAACAACTGTGTCAATTAAACAATTTATGACAACAGCTAATTTGCAACCAAAAGCTGAGTGAGCGTTTCAAACGAACTTCAACCTGGAGGCAAGTTAACCCCAAGGCAAGTGAGCTCAGCGAACTTAAACGGGGCAAAGCCAGCGGGTACAGTTAGTTATTCTATAGAATTATTAGGTTTTTAGCGAATTTCGCATATAGGGAATAAGCTATTACCGTAGTACTCATGGCAACACCTGGACCCGGGACCGATGTAATTTTTCGTTTTGAGACCCTAGAGGCCAAAAACACCATCCGTTCAAATTCATATATATTTAAGTGTATAAGACATTTTGGGGACTTGACTTTTTCGGGTATCAAGAATTTATACGAAAATACACTATTGCAATATTTTGAGGACTTGAATTTCTGTGTGTGTATAAGACATTCTGGGCACTTGACTTTTTCGGGTCTCGAGAATTTAGTACTTTTCGAGGACCTGTGCAAATTATTCCATTCCAAATGCAGCGCGTTATCGATCTTCACCCTTGTGTGGGCCTCCCATTCACTGACGGAATGTCTCGTGGCGTATGACGACCGGATATAAAGTCTTACACTCACTTATCTCGTTATTTTTTCAGCATATTCGTTGACCCGTCTGCAGGTCTTATGTTGACGGGCTGTCAGAGCGTCTGTTGCAATAGTTGGAATTCCTTATTTATGTTTGCTGCTGATTACGGTGAAGTATTGTTAGAAATTCCACCTAATCTTTAAAGTTACCCATTAAATTCATAGAAATAATAATATTTAACTGTTTGACGAGTACCGCCCTATTGTATTCAAAATACTAAACGGCCCAACCCAATATTTAATACAAGCCAAAGGTGTCTTATAGATTCCGAGTAAATTATTATAAACTATCAAATGGAGCATGTAAAGTGCATTATAAATAATCAACAAACACTAACATAATTGACTATTGATTCAGTTACTGATTCGGGAATTACAATTGCTGATGATAACTGAATGCTCTGACCTGAAGCAGTGTTCTTCTTTACTTCTTTACCAATAAAACACATGGGATACAGCCTTTCTTCACTGAACACGTAATGCGTGATTTTCTATAAAGTCTTGGAAAAATAAAAGGAAAAATAGATAGAATACAGGTGTACTGTATGTGGTTTACACACAAATATTCATCAAACTGTGTGATAGTTTGTTATAGCAATAAACAATTTGAGAGTATCGTATTGTTTAAGTCGATGGAAAATCTCTGTTGATCCTGTTTTACAAGCAAACCAAAAAGATACAGTAGTCACCACTCTATGCGACATATTCTAACCAGAAAATTTGTAATCGTATGATTCTATAAGCATTGGTAGGATTAGGATACTATTGGTAGGATACTACACAAACATTATTTCAAGGGTAATAACGGTCACAATTTCCGCTGACTTTAAAAGTCAACTAAACTATTATACTAATGGACACACAACTAAATGGAACAACTAATGGAAATTCTCACGATGTACATTCGTTCGATATAAGCATTGAGTATACACGTCAGTACATACGTGTATACCCAATGATATAAGCAACGGTTCTTGAAATTTATTGCTTATTGTTTTTTAGAGTTGTTTTCGGACTTACTCACATTCGTAAAGGTTTTCCACGTTTGTCATTGATAATGTAGCCATGTTGCTTTGAAATGGCGACCATACAAATGTATGCATTTTAAGCCAAGTATGAATGGAGATGAGTGTGGGATGAGTGGAGCGATCTTGTTGTCCTGTTTGTGACTAAGGCCGACAAAATCCTTAGACACAGCTGTTTAAGTTTGGTATCAAATTAAAGGTTTTATTCATAAAAATACATTGCCGCAAACCCAAACTCAAACGATGATGATAATAACGTTAATGATGTCGCTAAAACGTATCGTTTGAAATTTAACAGCTGAAAATAAGTGAAATAGAAAAGGTTTTGGTTAAATCCATCAAATTGTAATTGGACACTAGTAAATACTAGTGCACTTGTTGCTACCTCCCCCCTTCGGTTTCATGTATTCCTCTCAATCAGTTCAAACCTAGGAGGATTAAACATTAATGTTACCTTATTAATGTTAAATCCTCCTTACCTTATTAATGTTAAATCCTCCTAGATTCAAACCTGAAACACCCAGATCGAAACTCGCCTGTTGTTATTTTACCATCTCCTTTTTTTTAATATATTTTTCAAAAAAGAAAGATTATATTAATTTACTTTGGATTTTAAAAATGTTACCATTTTATTTTGTTAAAGATTTATCGTGATACGTAAATATTGTGGTGTAGTAAAGTATATTATATTGTAGTTAAGTGTTAAATTTTGAAATTTTAGGGTGAATCGAGATGAATCTTTTTTTATAAACAAAAACACCTTAATAAAATAAAACTGTTAATATCCCGTTTATATCCCGGACAGGACCATTTATTTGTAAAGAAAAA